GGGTCTTCGGGCATGGCCTAGACGATGACGCCCTGGCCATCCTGGCGTCTGCCAAGACGCGCATCTATAGGCACTTCCTCGGCGCGGAACTGAGGAGTGTACAAGAAGACCCCCTCCTTGTCTGGAGGAGGACTTTCTCAAGGTGGGGAAGCCTTCCTTGCTGAAGACATTTGTACACAACTATATATATATTCCCCTACACTTTATATGCCCTTTTACTCTTTTATATTTTCTCCTTTGTAAAATTTGATTGAAAGAATCAATAAAATTGTTTAATTTGTCTAACTTGTGTGATTTGTTTCTTTTTGGTGTTTTTGAAATTAAAGCAAATAAAAATAAATAAAAAGTAAATTACCTTTTAAAGTTATAGAGTTTATTTATTCGTTGTCTTCCTCATAGTTGTTGATCCTGAGTCTTTCTGTACCTCTTCTAGTTCCAAAATAAACAATCGAGATATAAACAATAACAATATTACAAAAGGAATGATACTAGAAAAATAATGAGACTATGGAACACCATCTGTTACTATTGATTTTAAATAAATTAAATAGATATTGTTTTGAATAAATGGGGTGTGCATAAAATATGATGCAGCAATATACATGTATCTTCTTCTTCTTTCTTATCTCCCCATAATCATATTAAGGTATCAAGCTTGTGAATCTTGAGACTTTTGATGGTGTCTGCCGGGGGAAGAGTAGAGCTCATCAATGGATGAGATATATAGGTATGATTCATAGTACGATGAACATGGTATTTATGTGCACCAAGAAGCAGGTTTCCTTCAAATTTGGATAAATCAAGCAGTTTATTACCCAACCCTGTTCAGAACACACATATTATAATATTATATAAAAGAATGGGAAACAAAATTGTTTTAATTCATTTTTAAAGTAAGACCTTCCCCATCAGATACTTTGATAGCATCCTAATCTCAAGCTCTACAAGCTTGATACCTTAGTGTGATTGAGTAGAGATAAGAAAGAAGAAGAAGAAGAATAGCATCCTACTGCACATTTTCTTTATAATTTCATCCGAAAATATATTATTATATTATCTGAGCTTGATTACACCTTTTCGCTAATTCGATCGATAAAACTTTTAACCTGGAATCTTTTTAAATCGAAGCCTAACATTGCTGATTATTGTAACTATTGTATATACCCTCTTCTACTTGGGGAAGCTGTATAAGACCAAAGGGTCATAACAGGGACTTTTGTTGTTGTTATTACTATTATTCTTGCATGTACCCTTCATTTCTGTGCTTGGAGAATCCGTATAGGACTAAAATGTCATAATAAAGCTTTTTGTTGTTGTTGTTATTCTTAATTCGAAGCCGCCCCTGTACTGATAAGGGCCATAGTTCGAAACAATACTATACAGGTTGTTGGCTTTTGACTGAATTAGCCAAAATTAATGTTGTGGCATGTTCATTTATTACGACCTGTACGCTCTTCACAGGAATGATAAACAAAATGCATTGTTTTATGCGTTTTGAAAGTGAGAGGTGTCCCTGTAGGTCTTCTTCTTCTTTCTTATCTCCACTTAATCATATTAAGGTATCAAGCTTGTAGAGCTTGACAAACATCATGGCTGAGTGAAGTTGAATGCGTCTACTTTTATCATTAAGACTGGGAGAACTACTCAGTGGCAGGCTAAATTAGCTCCAAAGGAAATGGCCTACCCTATTGGTACATATGCATATTATCACAGAATAATCTGTAATGTCCTACTCGGTGAATCATCATCAGACATGTGACATTACATCAGCGTTTTATCTGTAAATAGTTTTGTTTAGATATCTCTCAAGTCTGTTTTTCAATATCGTGCGAGATTCATAAACACTTTCCTTGATGAAACAAATTTGTTTTATAATTACAATAAAACGTAGCCTCAAGATAGGTTTCTTATTTTATTCAATGTTCTCTCAAGCCTTCGGGTATGTTCCTGTGTTTTGTATGCTCCTGTAGAAGGATTTACGGTACCTGAAAGCTTGAGAGTACGTTTAATAATGTAAGAAATTCGTCCTAGTAGGCTGAGTTTTATTGTAATCTAAATTTCAAGGGATTCTTTTGATTGTTTAATGATTACACCCATACCTCGCTTTGCGTCGGGGTTACGTTTCAAAAAAACACGACGCAAAGTGAAAATAAAATTTTGATGGCATGGCGCAATCAAAAACAAAGGTGTTGCTATATTTTAGGGAAAAAAAAAATATTAAAAACTCGAATCCAAAACAACGCAACTTCGAAAATCTAACGACGCACAGTGAAAATCGGTAAAAATTAAGCAGCGACGCAACTTCGAAAAAAGCGCAAAACGAAATGACGCAAAGTGAGGTATTGGTGTACTCGTTCTGGTCTCAGCTTTGCGCATAGCGCTATTGTGGCCAGTGAAGATTTTCCAGCCGGTGAATGATTATTGCTAGTTGAAAAATTTACTTGTTCTGGTCTCATGGAGCAATCGAATATGAACCTAAAGCTAACCTGCCTTGACAGTACAACAATCTATGCATAATGAAAAATAAAACAAATGAAATAATCCATCAGATTAGGAAGTAGAATTCAGCGAAATGTTTCTTCTGCTCGTGCAACTTGATATTGCTAACGTATTACGCCATATAAATTTACATAACTGACATGTGTTAAAATCTTTCCAAATTAAGATTTTTTATATTTGTTTTATCCCAGGTTCTCCTAGAAGTGCCAACTACCCATTATAAAAGTCGGTGGACGAGTGTGTAACACCCTCGATTCCCGACAGTCATGAACCGGGATTAAATCCCGTGTTAACATTTTGTTTAATATATGTGAATAACTCGCATATTATTCACTGTTTCAATTATAATAAACTAGGTTGCTATTGTTGAGCGGTACCTAATAAAGTGATTTTGAACCGGCTACCCATTATTTGTTAATATTTACTAATATATTAAAAAATTACAAATGTGAAATTGAACTGAGATAAGGTGGAGGAGAGATAAGGGGATGAGATGCCTTTTTCTTAATATACTAATATGTTTCATTTATTATGTTGCATAGAACAAATATCTCATCATGCATATATTTCCTCAATTTATATTAAGAAGATGAATAGATATATATTCAAAGTTCTGTGAATATTCAGGACAAATATCACGGAACAAGTTAAATATACGTTAAGTTGATTTTTGTTCCACTAGATGGCGCTCTGCCATCTAGAAATGCTTAGGTGAGCCTGGTCAGAATATATGTCTCTTTCATTTTTAAAATAAACACCTGACCTTTTTTATATTTTTATTGTTTTTTTTTTACACGAGAGAGGGAGAGAAAAGCGTATTTACGAAAAATTGTCCTTAAATACCCATTTCTTGATTTCTCAAGAAGCCTCTGGGACCAAATATTTTGACGTAGAGGTACAGTCTGCACCACGCTGACGAGGGCCAACAGCCCGAAACGCGTTCGTGGTTGAATTCTTTTGATATATCAATAAATTGGATCAACCAAATATCACGGAACAAGTTAAATAAACGTTTAGGTTATTTTTGTTGTTTCACTAGATGGCGCTCTGCCATCTAAAAAGCACATGTGAACAATCAGAATATGCCCCTTTTTTGTTTTTAATATCAACTCCAGACCCTTTATATATTTTCCCCATATTTTTTTACATATACACATGTGTATTGAGATAATTTGTATTGATTTGAGAGCCTCATTCAGATTCTTACATTTGGATTATAAATGTCTGGTTTAATAGGTTTGGCGGTGAGAGGAGTAGAACATCCATTAAATTGTATATATATAGGTGAAAAAATAGAACAAATGTGATATTGTACTTGGATAAGGTGCATAATTATGAAAAAAGGCATCTCCTTATCGTGCAACAGAAAGTTGCTGATGGCTTGCGCCATCTATCGGAATAAATATCAACTGTTCTCGTTGATTTTTAATTATTCCAGAATATATAGGTGTTGTGTGTTAGATATTTTTGAGATAAGAGAGAAATATTCTGAGATAATTATCATCTCATTTTGGAATACATGAGTATTTTGCCAATAGTATGTAATCGTGATATCTTGGGAAAAATATTTTCTATAAAAATATAAAATATTTATATTTTCTAGAACAAACTACTCTGTCAAGTCGACCGCCAGATGTCGCGGCTTTCCCTATATAAACTCATTGTTGTTGTTTTCCTCTGGCCGACTTAAAACCTTTTGTAAATTCCACTTTTTTTTTAAATTCTACTCGACTTAAGTCAGGTATTTCTTCCTTAAGAAATTCAAGAAATATAGTGATATCAAGTTTTTTTTTCCCCCAAGATATCACGATTACATACCATTGGCAAAATACTCATGTATTCCAAAATCGGATGATAATTATCTCAGAATATTTCTCTCTTATCTCAAAAATATCTAACACACAACACCTATATATTCTGGAATAATTAAAAATCAACGAGAACAGTTGATATTTATTCCGATAGATGGCGCAATCCATCAGCAACTTTCAGTTGCACGATAAGGAGATGCCTTTTTTCATAATTATGCACCTTATCCCAGTACAATATCACATTTGTTCTATTTTTTCACCTATATATATACAATTTAATGGATGTTCTACTCCTCTCTCCACCAAACCTATTAAACTAGACATTTATAATCCAAATGTAAGAATCTGAATGAGGCTCTCTCAAACCAATACAAATTATCTCAATAACAAACTAATTCGCATATTTTGAGAATATTAAAATAATTACGAGATTACGGAATTTCTCTAATTAGTAATCTACTCCTAATATAAAGGTAATAATGATATAATCATAATAATTACCATTAAACATAATAATATTCGTTGGGCAAACATTCACTCGGAAAGAACCAGAGGCAGTTCATTCGGAACTAGGTAGAATATACATATGTCCACTCTATATAAATTGTAGAGAACTATTACAAAAATTTCTTTCGAAAAAGGACATTGCATAGCGTTGATAAATCTATGCTTTCATTGCAATGAGCAGGGGGGTCGGTGGTCGAGTGGTCTAAACCGTTGGTTTTCGACCGCTACGACCCGGGTTCGAATCCCGCATTGGGCACTTTTTTTCTGAAAAAAAAAATACTCCAATGGCCCCCGATTCTTGAAAAAGTCAACCCCACCAGCGAGTGCAAGTAACCAAACGGGGCTCTGGTACATTTGTAAGTGCAAAGTCGAACTGCTTTCCACATGTGTAGACATGTGGTGCGCTTACAATAAAAGCAGTCGCCTACCTTTACCCACCATGATAATCATGGCCTGTACCACGTGTACTAGGGATGAGCAAAAAACTACAATGAGTTCTATGGTCATTGTTGATTTAGCGTTGGCTCGCATTTATATTGCTGGTGTCGCCGCCAAGTGGCCAGGCTTCACACAAAGACACAGCGGCGACGCCTCTAATCCGGCCTGTCACCAAGTGGTAGCCAAAGGTTCTCTCAAGCTTTCGGTATACTCCTGTGTTTCGTATGCTCCTGTAGAAGGATTTACAGTACCTGAAAGCTTGAGAGAATGTTTAATAAAGTAAGAAATTCATCCTTGGAGACTGGGTTTTATTGTAATTTAAATTTCAAAGGATTCTTACGATTGTTTTATGATTACCCGTTCTGTTCTCTTTGACCAATCCAATATGATCGAGTGGCAACCTCTCTTGACGACGCAACAATGTATGCATAATAAAAAAATAAAAATAAAACAGAAGGAATAATCCATCAGATTAGGAAGTAGAATTCAGAGAAATGTTTTTTTCTGCTCGTGCAACTCTATGTTGCTAACATATCAGGCAATATTTTTTTACATAACTAGCATAACTATCTCAAATATTTCCGGATTAAGATTTTTTATATTTGTCATTTATTGATTGGTTAACCCAGGTTCTCCTAGAAGTCGCCAATCGTCATTGAGTTAATTGGAAACGTTGTTGGCTACTTCGCCATGACGTCCTGGTGATGTACGGCCCTTACATTGCCTGAACAGGCTTATTAATTGATGTATTGTTTCTTAATTAGCATAGCTCTATGCTCTCTATGCAAGAATATTTAAGGATGTCGATACTTAGAGAGGCATATATTCATTGTTTGGCTGAACACATCATCACAAAGAATAAACATTCAAACATTTGTGGCGATATGGTGAATTGGATTGGCGAAACCTCTGGGAAAGTTCATCAATGATAAACCAAACCTTCTCAATTCTTTTACATCGTCAGTTTAAAATTTGTAGAAAATTCGTTACTCATTTTCAAAAATAAATAACATTAATGATACTTTTTAAATAAAAAATGCATATATTGGACCAAAAAATCATTTACTTAAATAAATTATATTTTGATCCAATATATGCCTTTTTAATTAAATATTTATTTATGGATTGCTCTATTTTCAAAACAATTAAAATTACTATTGAGTAAAATTAATAATTCCTTAGTTGTCAGGTCAAGTTGAATGAAGAGAAACTTTTCATTGGAGGATTGATTAAATTTACTTAATATTGATATACAAGGGATTATTTTATTGAATTAATATCCTTAAAATAAATATACACAGTTTGGACTATATAGCTTTTTATATATTTGAGAAATGCGCCTGTGAATCTCTCACATTAATTAATTTAAAATGTTTACAGAATCTAAATAAGTAAGTTTATGAGTTGTTAAATCGTAGAAATTACTGTGCCGAGAGGTATATATTCATGATATTATATTTAAAATACACTCATGGACAAAACTTAAGGATGTTGTACCTTTCAGCATGTATATCGGGATTGAGACAATAACTCTAGAAGAGTAGAATGGTGGATGAAAGGAGTGGACTTCAGAAATTGGTTTAACCATGGAGATAAGCACCACCACCACTTTAAAAGATATTTGAAAAGAAGTGACCTTTATTGAAGACATACGAGATAACCAAGTTTGAACAAAATATGTTAAAAGTTGTTTATAATGTTCACTAGATTATTTATAGTGCTATTTGACAGAGATATCATACCAGAATTTACAGGGAGACAAACATCTTACAACTTTGATGGTTAATTGGTGGAATTACAAGAATTATAAAATAACTCAAACACCATCCTATAGCTAAAGGATAATGATATTCCTGAAATTTGTGCAGATGTCCAAGCACACTTATCAAGCTTGTTATTCATTTCCTCTACAGAAGTCATATTTGCGAAGTTCTAAATGGATGTAACACACAATATTATAAATTTTAAACTTTTCATTATAAAACAATTTTAATTTATTATTCGTATATTTCATATTATGATACATCAGCGCGCCATCTGTTATAAAAATTCGAAACTATTATAGACGCGTATGTTTATTTTTAAAATAAAACAATTTCTACTGCCCTTACTGCAATGGAATAATTAATGGGAGGGCCTGGCTCATCAGTGGCCTGGCTCCCAACTGGAAGGATTCACCACTGATGAGCTAAGCCCCTTAATTAATTTTTTCATTGTAGTAAAGGTAGTAAAAATTGTTTAATTTTCAAAAGAATCATACATGTCTATAAAGGTTTCGAATTTTCATATTGTTTATAACTTTTATATCAATTTTTCTATCTTTGATTTTGAAAATACACAATTATATATATATAATCTTTCCTAGTCCATCCTATATAAAGATACAATAAAGAATTACTTTATGATACACTAGCGCGTTATCTGTTATGAAAACTCGAAACTATTATAGACGCGTAAGATTCTTTTTGTAATTAAACAATTTCTACTGCCCTTACCTTAATGGAAAAATTAATGGGAGGGCCTGGCTCATCAGTGATGAACCCTCCCAGCGGTCTCGCCAGTTCAATCTACCATTATCTGATTAAAAAACGGTAAAATGATTATTTGCGTATTTATTAAAAGTTTCATACTGTTCGATAAACCATTTTTTCGCTGTTTTTTCTGTAATTTTCTCTTTAAAATTTAGGTATAGTTGGCGCTCGAATCTTCCCTTAAATGTATCGCGGGCTTTCCAAATTCTTAAATACTCTTTAAACACTGTGTTGTATATAGTATAATCTCCTGGTCAGGATATTCCTTTTTTATTTTCAAAATCAACACCTGACCTTTTTATTTTTTCTATTTGTTTTTTCATGTGTTAACCTATTTACGCAAGTTTGGCCTTAAATACCCATTTCTTGGTTTTTCAAGAAGCCACTGGGACCAAAATAATTTTTGGTCGCAGTGGTACAGCCTATTTCACGTTGACGAGCGACAACAGCGCGAAACGCGTTCGTGGATGGCTTTTCTTGATTTATCAAGAAATTGGGTTAGCAAAATATCAGGGAACAGGATAAATCAATGCTTAGTTGATTTCTGTTCCACCAGATGGCGCTCTGCCTTCTGAAAAGCACATGTGCTGCTGGTCAGGATATGCCATTTTTATTTATAGTATAATCTGTGTAAAATCCGGAACATTGTATAAGCAATGGAGCCATAATAAATAGGTAAATCATCTAGCGCAGTACTGTATTGAATCACTATATATAGAGGATGTAACTATATTAAATATATATGTATAAATAAAACGGAAATATATTTATTTATGGGGCTGCTAACCAGAATGAATGATTTTTGAGCTCCGATGGACGCATAAAGCGGAATATATGTATATAAAGCACTGTTGGATGGGTAAAAAAAAAAAACGTCCCCGGGTGGGCTCGAACCACAACCTTTCGGTTAACAGCCGAACGCGCTAGGCAATTGTTCCACGGAGACTTAAAAAATAATATATAAATAAGGCTAGAGGTAAAAAGAAGAGTATAAAAGATATAACACATTGGTCTTACACAACACAACAAACACACTTTATTTCCAACCACAATATATATATACAGTCAAATTTACACTCCAGATATTCCTGTGGTCAAATATCATACAAAAATATAAAATAATTTATAATACATTATAATGCGGCTTATGATTTTAAAACGACATTTGAAAATTATACCGCATGTGTTTCTTTTGAACGATAAATTGAAATTTTATTTTAAGGAGAAATAACGATTATTTCTAAAAATAGGGATGAAGTATGAAAGGATGAATCGTAAAAGGTAAATGATAAACGGAAAAATAAAGTGTCCAGGGATGGGAATATAAATACACAGAATTTTTAGAATAATAGAAAGTTTAAGAAATGAGTTTCTTTTCATTTTATTAACGCAATATAAGCTTTCGGGCATTCCTGCCAATCTACAGAAGTATATAAAAACGAATTAACGCAATTATAATGCTATCTAATTATATATATAAATGGAAGCAATGGGTGCTTCTCCCGTTAAAATAAATATCAGAAACTGACGCCATCTATTGACCGTCGCCGCAAATAGCGGCCTCGGGTCGGTGACAAAGCCACAACACCAACTTTGGCAAACTGATAAGCGTCCACCTCTTTGGTAGATTGTGAGGATTCCATTAGAGTCCGTGTGGATCTCATGAAATAAAGTCCGCCCTAGACTGACGAGGGCCATTAGCCCGAAACCATGGTCTCTAGGTGGATGCTTATCAGTTTGCCAAAGTTGGTGTTGTGGCTTTGTCACCGACCCGAGGCCGCTAGTTGCGGCGACGGTCAATAGATGGCGTCAGTTTCTGACGTTTATTTTGACGGGAGAAGCGCCAATTGCTTCCATGGATTAATTTCCTCTAGGCAAATATTCCATCTATATATATAAATGTATATATTTAATAATATTTAATTAAATATATATAATTAGTTAGTATCTCAACGGCGTTTATTCGTTTTTCACGTACTCCTGTAAAAGGGCAAAAATGCCTGAGAAGCTCGAGATTTTGTTTATAAAATGAAAGGAAATTCATCTAAAGAAACCTATTGCATTATTTGATTTCAAGTAATCCCTTGTACACATAATACAGGCCATAATATTAATGGTGGATAGAAGTAAGCGACTGATTTCACTCTAAGTGCACCACATGACTACACATGTGAAAAGCAGTTCGACTTTGCACTTACAAATGTGCAATAGCCCCGTTTGGTTACTTGCACTCACTGGTGGGGTTGAAATTTTGAATGAATCAGGGTCCATTGGAGCATTTGTTTTATT